TTTCGGTCATTTCCGGTAAAACCGGAAGTCAGGAAAACTTTTCATGGATGCACAAAAATGGCGTTTTATTAGAATATCAAGCCTACCAAGTTTCGTTGATATCAGTGAACAAATAAAAAAATGGCAGCCGGAAAGTAATCTCGTGCACACCCGGTATACAAAATAAAATTGTAGGTATCCCATTTCGTGGAAATTTAGAAAAAAAGTATATACCGCAGAAAAATGCCGAGAGTGAGTTAAAAATATTTTAAATCACTGAGGTGTTAGATTTTTAGTTGGGCAGAGTGACTTAAAATGCCGAGAGTGAGTTAACTTTTTTTTTTTAAATCACTGAGGTGATAAACGTCTACTTACCTTTATTGTTATGTGTTCAATAATGTCATTTTCAAACTTCAAAATGGTAAATGTTTTTACCTACGAGCGTGCGGTAAAGTGCACTTTACCGCATAGTGTGCGGTAAAGTAAAATTTAATATTTTTAATCAGAAATCCTCTCTTTTTCAGAAAATGGATTTTTGATCATTTCTACATCTGATTTAATTTCATTAATTATTCTGATTCAATATTTAATTTTATCAATGCCTTTTTTTAGAGATGTAGATGCTCATAGGTAAAATTTTGTACCTAACACATGCGGAAAGTGCCTTTACCGCCCTTAACCGCTTGACCGAACTCCGCTTCGCGTCGTTCGGTCAACTGCCGTTGCGTGCGGTAAAGTATCACTTTCCGCATTTGTTAGGTAAATAACTATTTATTAGTACTCATCATGTTTAATAGAGAATTTTCATATTTCTCAAATTATTTTTTTTTAGATACTTCTAGTGATCAGTTATTACATAGTTTTATTTTTTTCCATTTCAATTTATACGTTGTACGAAAAAAAAATTATTGAAATTCAAATCAAATACTTTGGCGCGAAAACACGAAATCCCAATTTGACAGCGCTTGTGACGTTGAGATTTTGTAAACATCAAATACGCAGCAAAGGAACTCCTGCTGACGCAGTGCTATTTTTGTGTTATTCAAGTGTGTTAAAGTTTGCTTTTTATGAAAATTGTCGCAATGGATGAAGACTATTGTGAAGGAGTGCTTTTGTATTTATTTAACGTGCAAGTTCCCTATCACAGATTTCCCTATAGAAGATTTCATTATGAATGACTTTGGCAGAAAGTCGACAAACAAAGTCACATAACCTATAAATAGCATTGTCAATGTTATTAATTTTTTTTCAATTTTGGACTTATGGCAGTTTTGGGAGAACGTGATATGTTTTATCGAGAGGCGATGAAGCGATGTGTGTTTGGTGATTGTAAAAAGGATAATCGAACGAGTTCCATTAAATTAACGACCCCATTTGCCTCTACTGGAGTTTTAGGTAACACAGCACCTGTCACATCACTTTCTGTTAATTTTATCAAACGTTTTGCAACCAATGCACCTAATACTTACGAAAGCGTAGATTTGACAAGATGCTGTGTTACCTTAAACTCCAGTGGAGGCAAATGGGGTCGTTAATTTAATGGAACTCGTTCGACTATCACTTTCACAATAATCAAACACACATCGCTTCATCGCCTCTCGATAAAGCATATCACGTTCTCCCAAAACTGCCATAATAGGGAACTTTACAATTTTTTTTTAAATTTTTTCTGATCATTTATTTATGCCTTGAAAGAGTATTCACCAAATATTATTCCCTAAAACTCAATAATAACTTGGTGAAAAATTTTCAAAGTTTCGCGCAAATTAAAAGCATTTCAAACGAACCTAAATGCGCGCGAATCTGGATGACGTCACGTAGTATGATTTTGCGTTAAGCCGGCGCCACACGATGTGTCCAACCATTCGACCCAACGTTGGATCGATCCAACGTTGGGTACAATGTTTTTACTCTAGCATTCGGCACATGTATCATGTATCCGATAGGCGCACAGCTACACGATGGTCACGATGCCACAAATTGCTGTGTCCAACGTTAAAAGGCATTCGACACATCGTGTGGCGCCGGCTTCATCTTGCCGTCAAACGTCATACTTTATTGTATTTAATTTGGTGGATTTCCACATTTTCCACAGTTATTTGGTTTGTTGTTATTTTGTGTTGCGGCGAGTTGTAAATTTTGAAGTTATAATGGAAAAAAAGATTCGCACATACTTACTTTTGCTACCATATCACAAATTACACATTGTCGGATTGGCCTTTGGAATTTCCTTATCCTGTCATAATTTAATAGGTACCTATATCCTTTTATTTATATAATGCTGAGCTGATCATTAAATTTCAGTTGAGTAAACCAATTCCAATAAATGATGAAATTTTAAAAAATTAGAAAAAAACGCGGATAAACACAGGTAACGGGTATTTATGTAATGTCTGCTCAGCGACTCTGTGTCTACGGGGCAACGGTAAGGGGAATGCAGTTGTAAAAAAAATGGCTGATTTCATTCATAAAATACCCAGCTGCGTGCGGAACTTTTTGGAAGTTTTATCGTATTGCAACTCCTACACGAAAATCGAAAATGACCAAACCCCCGCCACTGGATATTTCAATATAAATCGATATTCCAAGATGGGAGGATACAATGACGGAAGCCCTGGCCAATAGCGAGACGTAAGGTGACGTTAGCCCATTGACAACGACATGGTTCCCCGTGGCAACGGCCATCCTGCCAAAAACTCCGCCAATCAGGTTCATCCAGGCCGGATGCTTGCCAAATTGTCAAAAACTGATGGTATCTTTAGAAAATGTTTATTTTTTACAATGGACAAAATTGGAGAAATCAGTTATTAGAATAAGAATAGATTTAACAACCACGTTGAAATATTTAGCGTTATATTTGGTATCTATATTTTGCTATTAAAAAATGGATTTTCAAATGAACTATACTACATGCCTAGTATTTTCGCTTTTTCATAATTAAACGTGACAACATGGCACATTTACGTCCGAATTCCTTCCGTAGACTCAGACCCGCTGGGCAAACAATAGAGTTCGAGTAAACGCTCGGAGCTGATGTTTTGTTCTTTTATCCCTGTTCTTCTCATCATAAGGAAAAAAGACGGAAAATGCTCCGAGCGCTCAGTGTTTCAAGACGATCTCACGGTATGATGGACGGTTGCTGACAGACACTGACAAATCATACTACATGACGTCACGACCAGTACCAGAGCGTTTTTTCCCGCTGGAAATAATTTGAATTTTTCCGCATTTTCAATTCCTTATTGTGGCCGTTTGCAACAAAAAAAATTGTTTCTGTCGCTGATATAGGTTTTAATTAATATATTCTTATGATTTATAGTAATATTTTCATGTTTAAATTTTTTGTCAATTCCCTATTATTAAATTAAAGCCCAAAATTGAAAAAAATTAATGACATTGACAATGCTATTTATAGGATATGTGACTTTGTTTGTCGACTTTCTGCCAAAGTCATTCATAATGAAATCTTCTATTGAAAAAAAATTAATAACATTGACAATGCTATTAATAGGTTATGTGACTTTGTCGACTTTCTGCCAAAGTCATTCATAATGAAATCTTCTATTGACGGGTTTGTTTACAGAATCGTGACGTCAAAACAGGTATCCATCATAGAAGCATTGTTTTGGCGGGAAAATTTTTATTTCAAATTTAATATTATTTTTTTTTGTGTAACAGGGGCGGTATCAGTTAAATAAAAAGTGGTCATATGAATATTGTGCAGCATGAACTATCGATTTAAAACAAATTTGGAAAATTTTAGTTCACTTGCAAGTTCCCTATTGAGGTTATATACAGTGACCGCCAAAAAGTTTGCGATGATATTTTTCAAATTACCAGAAAACAGGCCAAAAAATTGATATTTATTAAAAATCCTTGTACCTTTTTAAAAATTGACACATGAACGTAAAATCGGATCCTGAACAACTTTTCTCTCTGCAATTTTTCGATTTCTGGTCGTCTAACCCCACTTTTCACATATTCAAGGCGAACTTTTTAAATTTTGCCGCCATGACTGTGGTCACATGACATCTGTCACAGTGATTTTTTTTGTTGATGGGTATGCTGAATTGATCCCACGTAACATTTTTTTTGATATCTTAATAATAAAATATTTTCCCATTTGTTGCAAACTTTTTGGCGGTCACTGTATGTATATGTGTAACATCAGCTAGTACTTAAAGTTTGTTTCACCAGGGTTTGTACTTGCCACCAGCATTTGTTTTCCTTGTTTAACAAATAAAAATTGACAAACAAATCAATGACGTCAAAAACGTTCTTCGGTTCTTAAACCAGACGTCATTCATTTTAATTTGTCAAACAAATTGAATGTGTCATATGAATTAATCTACGACAACCCTTTTTTGTCAAGTTTCAAGGTCAAGTATGAACTCTGGTGAAACGAACTTTACCTACCTAATTAATAGTATATTACATACCGAGGTGGAAAGTGTTTCATTACTGTCGAGAGATTAGTTAGTTAACTGAGACGCGAAGCGTCGAAGTTAACTATAATCTCGAGACAGGAATGAAACTTCCTACCGAGGTTTATATACTATTTTATTTACAACAATTAAAACCCTCATAATTTCGACTAAATACTAAAAAAAAAATTAAAAATTTGTTGACAAGTTCTGACTCATCTAAAAAAACGTTTGACATGCAGGACTCGTCTTAAACATTTTAAAAAATGAGAACTTACTTTCCACCCGGGTGGAAAGTGAGCACTTTCCACCCGGGACCACTTGCCACCCGGGTGGAAAGTAAAATTCAAAAAAGTGTCACTTTCAAACTTTTGAAAAGTCAGAAATGTCAACATTATGTATGTGGTTGTAAATAAAAAAATTTAAAATTCATGTTGTTTTCTCAGAGATACAAATTTGCAGGTTATTTTTAGAGAAAAATGTATAGTAGAGAATAATTGTTTTCAATCCATGTTTAAGTAACATTGCTTATAACAATCACTCTAGAAGGTAGTTAATGCTTGTAGAACTAGTTACTTAGCTTTTTAATTTTTTTAGAATGAACTGGATCAGGTGGCTTTGGAGTGGAATACTCACAAAATAAGGGGAACAAAAAATTCTAGAACGCCAGTTGGTAGACCAATAATGATGTTTCAAATACCAAGTTTGTATGACGCAGAAGACAAATTAGTTGCAGTTCCCCAGGAAATTTTAAATTGTTTGAATGAAGAGTGTCTTTTTTACGGTACAAACTGTGACAAAGATGTTTCGGACTTGTGTAAAGAATTGATTTTGGAATATGGGTTTGATACTGATTGTAAAGATCCTTACGATGCTTTTAGACTGTACAAAAAGTTAAGATCGCAAATTTATAATTTATTGTAAGAATGTCATCTAAATATATGTATTAGATAAGTAGGTAGTATAATTGTTTTTCTGTTTTTATTTTTTTAATTAAAATTTCACAAGTGTCATCATCATCATTAGTAGGTAGTAAGTACCTAACTCGGGTAGGTACAGGCATTGTACAGGGTGTCCGAATTCGGATGGTTTTAATAGGAAACGTGCAGAAAAGTAACACTTTGCGCACTTGTTAGGAAAATAACTATTTCAAGCACTATTCCTTTCCTATTAACATTTTTTTTATAAACAGTGGCACAAAAAAGTTAGGTGTGGTGAAAAAATATAAAAAATGACCCTGCTCTTGAAAAATTATTTTCAAATCAAAAATAAAATATAAAAAAATCACGATTCTAGAAACAAACAATAGGTTGATACTTATACATATACTATGAGAATAAAAAAAAATAAAAAAATCGTCCGAAAATCTTTAAAAAAATTATATTAATCCAAAACCATTGTTATACAAAAAAAAAAATTTAATTTTACATATTTAATATAAACTAAAAAAAATACTTGCACAACCCGTTAATTTTTTTTTTTTTGGCCATATCTGAGAAAAGTAAACTATAATTTCTAAAAATATAATTATAATTATAATATATTATATTATAAATGATATTATTATATAGTTAACGCCCTAATGTTAATTATATAGGGTGATTCATAATTAATATTGCACAAAAATTCAAGTTCAAATTTCTTGGGTCAAAATATGAAATAGTAGGTATTTTACATTATTATCCAGGTGAAACAGTTTTTACTGGCGATTGAAGGAGATGACTAGCGAGCCGCCAGTCAAGCTTGTCACTTTCAAAAGCCAGTAAAAATTGTTTATTTTCAACCGTATATATAATGCTGACATTGCAGACTTTTTAGAATCTTGAAAGTGTCACATTTCTGTCCTTTGACATTTTTTCAGGTCGGCAATATATATGCCAGCCACGGACGGAAAAATGTGTTTCCGTCCCGATTTCCCTGCTTGTTTTTTTTTGTCAAAATTGATGACATTGACAAAAAAAAGAGAAAGCTGATTTTTGTCTAAGGCCAATTCACACTATTATTTCGTACTATAAAATCTTTTGTCTCAGAAATTGAGGGTTGAAAATAAAATAGGATACAAACCTCGACGGAAAACCTCATTGCTGTCTCGAGGTTAAGTTTACCTCGACGCTACGCGTCTCGATAAACTATATACCTCTTGACCAGCAATGAAGCATTTTCCGTCTCGGATTGTAATATACTATTTCTGCGTAAAGTACCTAATAGGGAACTTGCACATTAAATTAAAAATGGAATAAATAATAAAACACAAAAACAAAACATCCTAATAGATGATGCGATTAGGAAAAAAAATATATCTTATCTCTGATGTCCAAAATCTTCAATTGAAAATACCAATAATTCGAAATTCATGACGCGATCAAAAACGTGTTTCTATATGGGTCGTGATGTCACAAGGCAGTGATAATCGCGTCGCGCCGCCGCCCCGCCATGTGCTGCTGGTTTCGCCATTGTCAAATCTATCGTAAACGGCATACATAACAACATAACCATAATCTAAATCTACCTGCTCGACGTTCGAAGTGCTCGTCACTGTCAACGGAATTTTGTTGCCGAGTGACGTCGCACTAATCGGTCGTTTTAACTGGCGATGTTTCGAGAATAACTTCAAATATGAATAAAAATTTAACGGCTGATTTTTAATGCTCGATATATTTGGCATGACTATAGTTTTTAATGTGGTAGAACACATTTTTGAAATTTAAAAAAAAAAGTGCAAATTCCCTGTTCACTTTACACACTAGTTCGTAGAGATGTCAATGACAGACGTCGACACTGTCAATTTAGTATTTTTCTAGTGAATACCACTAGTGCGTGAAGTGAAAATACTTTACGCACTAGTAAGTAAAGTATTTTTGTCTGATTTTTTTTTAATACACATATTTTATTGGTAGTAGTTTGATTTTTGCCCAAATACATTGCAGTTAAAAGATGAAGCAATTGAAACTAGGTACCTACCACTTTTCGGGCCCACGAGTGGTAGTTTTATTTGCTTTATCTTTCAACTGCAATGTAATTGGGCAAAAATCAAACTACTTGCCGCATTTATAAGATAATTAAAATTCCTTTTCTTTTTTTCATATTGCGAAGGAATCCAACCTTGAATTTTCGTGCAATAGGTATTTATGAATCACCCTGTATAGGTATATAAACTAATTATTGTCAAAATAATAAAAAACTAAAATCTAATTTGTTTTTGGTTCGTAACGACAACATTTAAATTTCAGAAAAACTTGTTTAAACTATTTAAAAAATAAAATCAGTGACATTTTTAGACAATGTCCATACACCAGACGTTCGATTTTAGAACGTTGTTCAATTCTGACTTGAAAACTCTAAAGTTTTCTTTTGCATACGATAAGGGCAGTTCTAATATATTATTACATGTATGACCAATTGGCCTTCTTTCAATCCCGGTTAAAATGCTAAATTCGATGGTGATATGACTGCAAGTGATTAGATCTGCACCTGTACAAAATCTCAAAAATCTTTCCAAATAATCTTTGTTGCATTCGCGTACGAATTTTTTCAAATAGGCGAATACCATTTCTTTCTCTTTATGCATGTCAGCGTCATAACATACTAATAATCCCAATACTCTTCTATTGGTAACCTCGCACTCTTCATATACTTTTTTTATATCTTCAAATGTCATCTTGTTTTTCAGCACTATTCTGAAGCAATCCAAAATAAACATCGGTTTTTGTAGAATGTAAGTGTGTGCTAGATGTTTGATTACAGACTGTATATTTTCCTTTTTTATGATGTGTTTACATTCCAAGTTTGATAAAACTTCACTTAATTCTTCTGTATCTGTTTTATCAAAATCCGTGAGAGCCATTTTGATAATATCGGCATCGACTTCTGAAACAAAGCTGAGAAGTGCCTCTTTTATGTCAGATACTTCTTTACCAATAAAGGCATACTCCATAAATGGCTTTGGTAATCGAATAGGGAAATACTGTGTCTGGCGAAAGCCAATTAAAAGAATTTTAGCTATTGCCTTCCATTTTTCCTCTGTGTACATATAGTTTATTTCAGGTACTTTTAAAGTAGCTCCTTCACACAATGATTCATAGAAGAAACTCCAGTACTCGGAGAGTGCATCTTTCAAAACACCTCCTCCATCGAGCGCTAGTTCCTTGATGCCATTTGTCCCTATAATCTCTACTTCAATTCTTAAATTATCTACATTTTTTATGTCAATAAAATAGGTGGTTAGTTCCTTGAATATTTGTCCACGATGCACCACAACAGTAGTGATTGAAGAAACTGTGGATGAGGAACCTACTGATGTCAAACTGACAGACTCTGGTACAGATGGTTGTTGGAAATCTTCACCATCTAAACCACACAGATCTTCAAAGTTAGGAAGGACGTACACATCTTCTGTATTTATATTATTGGAAGGGTTTTCCTCTCGAACAAAATCATCTTTGTTTTTTCCTCTATGTATTATTAAAAACTCTTCAAGTTCGTCGAGATCATTTTCCAAGTCATAAAATCTCTCAAGTTCACGATTTTCTCCAACATTTGTTTGTGTTATTACAAAATCTTGATTTGTTTCTTCGTCGGGATTTTTCTCTGATTCAATTTCTAGACCTTTCGTCATACTTAATTTTTCAGTATCTTCAAAATCGTTGTTTTTCTTATCAAATCCGTATTCTAGTTCATTTTGGTTTAAATCATTTTTATTTTTTGGCATATTTCTTTCCGGGTATTTTCTTCTTTTGGGACTCTTTTTCTTTGGATTTTTTTTCAGTTTTTTCATTGCATTTCCTGGAGACCAATCAATATCTTCCTTGATATTAGTTGAAAGATAGAATCTTAACAAATTTAATCCTGTTATGGCATACATTTGTCCGACAGTAATTGTATCGTCATCTTCTAGAACATGCTCTTTGAAATCCAACAAATCATAATCTGTATCTTCTAACTTTAATCCGCTTACTGACACGCCATTTGGAAAATAAAATTCTATCGCTTTTTCTAATATGTCCTTTTTCTTGGCCTCTTTCGACAAGGAACAAGATCTTCTGCCACCTCCGTTTTTTTCTCTCACAGGTTTGCCATTTAGTATCCAGCCGATGTTAACCGTTCTAGTGGCTTTCAGATTCGGTACCGCCACTTGCTTTTTTTTTGTAGACGATTGACATAATTGCAGATCGACACCGCAAGACTTGCTTTGACTGAGTTTAATCCTCTCGATCAAACTTACTCCATTTCGTGAAGCAAAGGTGGATTTGCAAAATCGAATCAAGGCCATACGGTCCCCCATTTTCGGAATAAATTGCTTTAATTTGTCATCAGGCATGTCCTTTACAACTTCCATGTCGATCTGAAAACAATGATAATTACTCAAGTATTGTAAAAGTTTAGTCTCTCTGAACTTCAAAAAGACGATACCATCTAATTTAAAATTCGACGTTTCGTTTTAGAGGGCTCCCTTGTATTATTTCAAATAGAATATAGTTTTATTTAGCTTTTGGAGCCTATTTAGCTCATATAACGCGATTTAAGTAAAATACTGACTGATATAGGTACCTATAGTCTGGCAAATGCTAACTTGATAGAGACGAAAGAGAGAAGGAAAGTGGGACGTAATCTCTGGGTTCAGTGGCACCGAAAACACCAAGGAAATAAACCAATAAAATAAAAAAAAAAAAAAAAAAAAAGAGTTTCGACAATAACCATGCCACTGTGCTGACGTTCAGTCTCTAACCAACAGAATCTTGCCTCTGAATATTCATGCCTCTCCACTTCCATCATTTCGCAATGTCGCCGGATTTTTTTCTATTTCAAAATGTACAACATGCCCATATTGCAAAAAAAAAATGTCACCAACTTGTTTATTATTGTTTTCGTCAAGTTTGGGTTAGTTCGCCGTTTGGCTATCCAGAATATATTAAATTTTTAAAAAACATCAGGTACCTACTCTATAGAGGATTATGTTAATAAAGGAAAGATGTCTTTCTCAAACATTATATTCTTGATACCTATAAACTGGCAAGCCAGTCGGCGAACTGCAAAGGAATTTGCTGCTTTGCTAAACTCAACGGAAACAATAATAAACAAGTTGGATACATAAAGTCTGTTTTTTTTTAAAGATAAAAGTAAAAATGACATTATGTTGGCAATACTAATGTAAAATTGTCAATGTTTTCAAATTTTTTGCGTGGAAAAGGCTAGTATTGCAAACATAGTTACTAAATTTTTGACTTGGGGAATTATCTTTAAAAAAAAAACAGACTTTATTTTTTTTGCAATATGGATATGTAACAGGTGACAGTATGTGTAGTATTTTGAAATAGAAAAAAATCCGACCAGATTGGCTGTTTTCGATTCGCTTTGGTCTTAAGGCCGTTTTACAGCTTGCAATTCTATCTGCAATATGCAGGAAAGTTGAACGAGGGCATGCGCAAAAGTGAGTCCGCTGATTGTTTTCTGCAAGATTCTTGAAACTTGAATGGCATTGCATGCAATCGGTTTTGTGCCATTTTTCTTGAAGGTTTTTCCCGCAAGTTGGGGAATTTCTAGCAAATATGATGTCTAAAGTGGCTGCTTTTGTTTTCTTTTTTTCATATCGACATAATCATTTTTTTCATTTTTGGAAAATGCAAACATCAACAACACAACATTAAAAACAAAAAAGTATGGTTAAGGTTATAGAAGGAAACAAGTCAAATTGCAAGGTGTAAAACGATGTGCAAGAAATCTTGAATGCAATTTTTTTGCATGTAACAAATTGCATTCAAGATTTCTTGCAAGCTGTAAAACGGCCTTTACAATTTTATCTGCAATATGCAAGAAACTTGAACGAAGGCATGCGCAGAAGTGAGTCAGCTGATTGTTTTCCTCAAGATTCTTGAAACTTGTATGGCATTGCATGCAATCGGTTTGGTGCCATTTTTCTTGAAGGTTTTCGTGCAAGCTGGGGAATTTTTAGCAATTATAATGCTTAAAATTGCTGCTATTGCTTTCTTCTTTTTATATCGACTTATAATCACTTTTTTCATTTTTGGAAAATGCAAACATCAACAACATAACATTAAAAACAAAAAAGTATGGTTAAGGTTAGAGAAAGAAACAAGTCAAATTGCAAGGTGTAAAATGACGTGCAAAAAATCTTGAATGCAATTTTTTTGCATGCAAAAAATGGCATTCAAGTTTTCTTGCAAGCTGTAAAACTGCCTTTATCACACGACACATGAGCTGGGTTCGGCTATTCTGCACGGAATTGAAGTGGAGTAATAGCAGATTTCTGTCACGTGATCTAGGAGTTAGTGGTGGAGAACTATCGATGGCACTATCGATAACTATCGATAGTATTGACTATCGAAATATATCGATAATTTTTTTCAACCATCGATAGTTTTCGATAGTTAATTAATAATAATTAATAAGCGAAAGTTAGGTTAGATGCGCAAAACTGAACTGCAAAAACAAGAATCGTAAACTACTTACGATTGCTCATCCTCATAAGACGTAAGTTTGCCAGTTCTTGAGTGGGCAAGGCCTGCAAGTGACGTCACAATTATCAGTACCTTATAGCGGTGACGTCACCCGCAGGCCTCGATGGGATGCTTGCAATTCAGGCTGTGCTTTTGAGTTATTTTTTTTCTCGATTTTAATGTAGAAAAGCTGATTTTAAAAATGGAAATTTTTTATAAAAAGCAATTTTAAAAGACTTTCACTGTGGTGCGTGGTGCCATTATTTCTGACAAAAGTTCTTGAAGAACGTTGAAATAATCGATAATGATAATGATTTTTATACAAAAATTCTTGGCTTTCAGAAAGGATATTTTCATTTTCGGAAAAAAATATGTTCTCCGCAAATGATAGATGTTGATGTTTAAACTATTTCCTAGAATCATATTTTTAGTACGTCAAAAAGGAAATAAGGTTTTTGTCTATCTATCTATCCTTTGCTAACTAATGTAATTTACATTCATATGACGTACAGATATCTTTAATATTTCCTTGTAACTTGTAACTAATTACTATCGAAAACTATCGATATTAATCGATAGTCAAGGTCCCGACTATCGATAAATATCGATGGTCGGGACTATCGATAGTTCTCCACCTCTACTAGGAGTGATTAACGACCGGAACGCTCTAGACTAGAGTCTATTGACAGTGGTGCCAGATGGATTTTTTTGCCGACAGTAGATTCGGATAAAAACAAACAGTAGATTTGTTTGCTTAAACAGTAGATTTTTAGTTATTGAATTTTTTGCGTAATATTTTAAATATAAAACAAAAATAGCTAATTTATGAATATGAAAATATATTACAATCAAAAAATTAAATAACTTCCGCAGAGATCTGTGACTTCACCGACCAGACGGGAAACGCTCTGAGAACAGTGAAGCCGAAAATGTCATAAGTTCTGAGTTGGAGTAGAGGCAGTTTTTTGTCACATTCATGACTCATGACTTTGGAGTCAAGAGCAATTTCTAGGACTGAGCTGGAGCAAGGAAGATATACACTACTACTAAATAATAGCCTATCCTCATAAGGCCTGTATGGAACAAATCCTCCCTCTCCCCCAACTGCCAAGTCACCAGTTATGACGTAGGCAGCATGTTTTATTTTTCGCCTTTTTTAGCCTGTTTAAACAGCTGACGACTTATAGTTATGACGTCAGAAATGGTGACACACCAATATGGCGGCGACTACCAAAAACGAGGCCTATAAGCAATCCTGTAAAGTCTGTTTTTTTTTAAGATAAAAATCATAATGACAATATGTTGGCAATACAATGTACAATTGTCAATGCTTTCAAATTTATATGTAGAAAAGGCTTGTGTTACCAACATATAGTTACTAAATTTTTGACTTGGGGAATTATCTCAAAAAAAAAACAGACTTTAGGTGTGTATCATCCGTGGGGTTAGAGGAGTACGAGCACGTTCGCCTTGCTAACCGCGTGTCCTCGAAGTGCATGAAGTCGGAAACCAAAATTAAAAATTATTGCTCAAAAGTAAAAGAATCGTCAAAAATTAATTGAACAATAATTTTGTATTCTCTCTTAGTTTTAGAAGTTAAAACAGTAGGTCTACTGCTAAAACAGTAGATCTGGCAACACTGTCTATCGAAGAATATATAGGTATTTTTTTTTATAAAAAAAATATAGACTATCGTTTCTCAAATGAGACAAGGCAAAAATTGGGGTCTCCTCAAATTATCGTATTGCCCGTTAAAATTATTATACTATTATTAGGAAAAATATATTGAGCGTGCCCGTATACATTGGATGAGAATCCACGTGGGAACAATGCATCTTATTGTTTGTTTTATACAGTCAAAGTCTATATATCTTCGAACAAGTCCGGTCACTCCTTTGATCTCCTCAAAAAGCCGGCTTTTTTTGCGAATGGTCGTAAATCAACTGGCGGCTAAACATAGGACTGCGATCCAACGTTGCCAAATTGATTTCGATGCTAGGCGCGTGCCGCCCACCCCAGGAGTCAGTCTGTCTTTTTCATTGATCTCTTTGGTGCAAATAAACAAAGGTAGTGAATATATTGTATTCAGTAGCTCGCTTATTGCTTGTATTTTTGATTTGAATACGATTTGTTTCTAATTTTTTTTGAGAGCACGAATACGAATGAATACTATTTCCTATTTATACAATAAGTTGCGAAATGAGCGTCTTTTAGGCACGCGACGTGAAAATTGTCCAACGAGGCAAAGTTGAGTTGGACAACACGTCGAGTGACTAAAAGACTTCGTTTCGTAACGTATTGTATAGAAGATTTTTTCTACTGGCGTTTCATAATAAAAAAACAAAATTTTATCTCAATGTTTGTCACCTGCTTTTGCTTGACACCTTTCATAGTGGTGACTAATATTCATAATAAATACAAAACAAAATTCAAATCTGTGTTTAGTGTGTTTTTTATTTCTGAACAATGAATGACACTTTTAGGCACTAGTGCTTAAAAGTTACTTTTACGCACTTGAAAGTCACTTTTACGCACTTGAAAGTCACTTTTACGCACTTGAAAGTCACTTTTACGCACTGAGTGCCTAAAAGTCACTTTTACGCACTGAGTGCTTAAAAAAATGTCGTTTCAAAACTAAAATGACAATCGAAAAGTTGCTATTATGAAACGTCAGTAGAAAAAAGTATTTTCGACTCTCAAAGTAATTATAATCGACATCGACGTGAAGTTCATGGACTTAATGATAAAGTGATCATTGAATATGCGTGTGAAGTAACAATGTTCAAATGCGAAGAGTGTGGAATATCTTTTTTTACTACTAACCTGAGAAGTAGTCATTATTCAATCTATTTTTCTCGGAAAAAATTGAATTTCTCTCCCT